TTTTTTTTTTTTTTTTTTTGAGAGGTTTTTGCTATAGGGCATGTGCACTCGCTGAAAAGACAGAGACAGAATGTGAAAAATCATCCCCCGGGGGGCAGCCACGCCGCAATCCCTTCTCCTCCATTCTCGTCTCGGGATCTTGGGCACACACACACACACACACACACACGCACCCGGTGTGAGTTTAAGCCACCAGACCCAGGACTTGAACCGCTGTCGACTACATGGGAGTCCAGTGACATAGCCATTGCGCCAACTGCTGGTTCCGGTGGCCCATTTTAAAAAGATGTCATCCTGGAACCAGCAAGTGGTGTGTTGGTTAAGGTGTTGGACTCCCACGTGGTTGATCATGGTTACAGTCCCAAATCTGACAACGTGAAAAGCACACCAGGTACGTGTGGATATGTGCACAAAGTCCCAGGGAAAAAAAACAGAAGGGAAGGGATCGTGGCATGCCATCCCTCCTGGGGGAGTGATTTCTTACTTTCCCACTTGCCCTGTCTCTGTTTCTCTCTGGCAAGTGCATGTGCCCTATGGAAAAAACAAACAGCAAAAGATGTCATCCCAAGATCATAGGATGCGACTTTTCCACTTTCCAGGCAGCCTCCCCATCTGCCCTGACCCTGCCTCCCGGGAGGGCTGACAGTTTGGTGGAAGCACCCACAGAGATTTCCAACTTCTATCTTTGAAATAATGCTTCCAGTCTCTTCTCCTCACGAATTCCCCCCACTCTGGTTTTCTGTTTGTTCATTTGTTTTTCCTTCTCTGTGTAACTTTCCTTTTCCTGGGAACACTCTCTGGCAAAGGAGCTAGTGGCTGGTGACATGTCTCCGCAGATAGCAGAGGAGGAGCAGAGCCACACTGGCCGTCTACAGTTGGTCATCCTTTCTGCCTTTACACCTCCCCGGCTAGCAGTGACAGCCTCCCCTAGCTTCCTGCTGCTGTTCCTGGTGTTGGGGCGCGGCAGTGAGCAGGTCAGACAGGGCACTGCGGTCAGGGGCTTGCACACTGTGACGGTGGGAAGAAGATAATAACGAGGTGACATGGGAGAGTGGCAGGTGCTACTGCAGAGAAGGCGGTCAGGGGTGGTGCCCTGTGAAGGTGTTTGTTTAAGAACTGAAGAATGAGGTGCTCACCAGGCAGTGAACTGGGAGAGAAGTTCCAGGGAGCAAGGAGAGGTGAAAGTCCCTGAGGCCATGGGACCAGCAGTTAGCGTAATGGCTATGTTGCTGGACTCCCACGTAGTCGACCGCGGTGCGCGTCCTGGACCCGGTGGCTTAAAACTCACGCCGGGCGCGTGTGCACGTGTGCATGCGTGCCCAAGATCCCGAGAGGAGAATGGAGGAGACGGGATTGCAGCATGGTCACCCCCCCCCCGGGGGGGGGG